TGGTGCTGGGGATCGAACCGCGGTCCCTGTGCTTTGCCAAGCTTGTTTCAAGTAGGTGCTTTAGACCACTGAGCCATCTCTCCAGCCCCTGTAGGAACATTTTAAATGCTAGTTCCAATTTATTTAATAGGGCTAATCAAATTACCCATTTCTTTATTTAAATTTTTTTAATTACTACATATTTTTATAGTACATAATGATTACATTCATCCTGGGCAACTGATACATAACACATCTTAGTTCCTTTTACTTCCCATCCTGGCTTTTTTTTTTTTTAAAGGTTTGAGATTGGGTCTTGCTGGCCTTAAACTCAGTATGTAGCCCAGGCTGGTCTTGAACTTATAGCAATTCTCCTGCCTCAGTTTCCCAAGGGCTAGGATTACAGGTGTTCACCACCATGCCCATCCCATTTCTTCCTGAGTAAACTTTGGTAGTTAATGTCTTTCAAAAGTTTTGTTGCTAGGCTTGATAGCCCATCAGTGTAATCTCAGCTACTTAGGAAGCTGAGTTAGAAGTACTGCAATCAGGGTAGTATGGGTAACTTAGATGATCCTTTAAAAATAAAAATGAAAAAAAAGAAGCTGCAACTATTATTGCTCAGTAGCAGAACACTTGCTGGCATTAACATGCTCAAGGTCCTGAGTTCATTTGCAGTACTAAAAAAAGTAATGTCAATTTCATCTGATTTGTAAAATAATTACTGGCATAAAGCTCTTCAGCATATTCCTTTATCTGTTCACTATCAGTAGGCTGTAGTGTGATACCTCTTAGCATTCCTGTGAGTTTTCTCTTCTTTTACCATATCAGTTTACCAGCACCACTGCTCTTATTGAAGAATCATTAATTGATAATGGTTGTTTTATCCTTTTTTCTATTTAAGTTTTTCTTTTTTTAATTGACTTGTACAAATATTATAAATGTGTACAGAAACATACACTATATTGGGGCTTGTGGGTTAGCTCAGTTGCTTAAAGCGCCTGCTTGGGCAATCTCAGTCAGGTGCAGGGGCACCACGGTTCGATCTCCAGTTCCACAAGCTGCACTAGACCTGCCCTTAAGGCAGCCTGAGCTAGCAAAAAAAAAAAAAAGAAACATATACTATATAAATTTTTTCTTCTTATATATTATATAAACTAATCCTTTGTCAGTTATATGTATGTTTTAAATATCTTTATGTCATTTTCTTTAAAGGTTTATTTCAGTGGGCACAAGTTTTTAATTTTTTTTTTTTTTTTTTCAGTACTGGGGATCAAACTCAGGATTGTGCACTTGCCAGGCAGGTGCTTATGCCACTGAGCTGTATCTCGAGCCCAAGTTTTTAATGTTACATAATCAAATATATTTTCTCTGGGCATGGTGGCCCATGCTTGTAATCCCAGAGCTCAGAAGGGTGAGACAGGAAGATCACAAGTACAAACCCAACCTGGGAAACCTGAGATTTTTGTCTTTAAATATAATTTTTTAAAGGGCCCTAGGCTCAATCCCTAATACTACAAAACAAAACAAACATCACTCATTCCCTTTACAATTAGTGCTCTTCAACTCAACAGGCCATCTAGTGCTGCAATAGAAACAGCCACTGTGTTCTACAAACACATGCCACTAAACACCCTGCAGACCCAGAGTACAACCTGATCCCAGAAGAAATGCTACGAGCAGGGCAGGAAGATGCTTTTCCAAAAACAAGCAAGATTTGGTCATTAAGTAAGTCATGTAGTCTTTTTTTTTTTTTTTTTAATTTTAGGGAAGGGTCTACAGGGTGTTCAGGGTCAAGCACAATAAGAAATTGCTGAGAAAAGATTG